GCCCATGCTTGGAGGAATGGTTTATCTCTGACAGCTGCCATCAGGTATTCTGCTTGACCTGCAGGAAGGGAAAATGAGAAGTTAAAAAAAAAGCCTGAGATGAAGCCATAAGATATATGGGAAGATATGATTTGTTTTCCCTCTTTCTTTCCTTTTTCCTTTTTACTTATGTGGTAATTGAGTTTCAAATCTTATTAATCCCATCTCATAAAAAAGACACAATAATGATACTAACTATAATAACAACAAAAATACAAGTATCAAAAAGAATGGTAATTGCAACAATAGCAATTGCAACAGCAATAACGACTATAACAACAATAACAATAATATTAATAATAACTGTATAGTAACAATAATAATAATAATAATAATAATAATAATAACAAAATAAGAACAATAATAAGAACAACAACAACAATAATAATCATAATCATAATAATAATCAAAATAATAATAATAATAATAATAATAATAATGGAAACACATGCCTCTTTTTTCTACCTTACCTACAAAGCATAGTGTAGACTGTGCTGAAATGTCCCCTCTGTAACTCTTCAAGTGGGTGCCTGTTGCCACATCATACACCTGCCAAGTACAGTAAAAGTATGATTGTAGGAAGTGATAAGAATAGCTTGAATGCTGAGGGCCACTGGAAGGGGGGGGGGAGCTCAGAGAGGTAGAGGGAGAAGGAGAAGAAGGAGAAGGAGGAGCAGAAGGAGAAGGAGAAGGAGTAGAAGGATAAGGAGGAGGAGGAGGAGGAGGAGGAGGAGGAGGAGGAGGAGGAGGGGGGGAGGGGGAGGGGGAGGAGGAGGAGGAGGAGGAGGAGGAGGGGGAGGGGGAGGGGGAGAAGGGGGAGGAGGAGGAGGAAGAGGAGGAGGAGAGGGAGACGGAGAGAGAGACGGAGGGGGAGGAGGAGGGGGGAGGAGGAGGAGGGGAGGAGGAGGAGGAGGAGGAGGAGGAGGAGGAGGAGGAGGAGGAGGAGGAGGAGGAGGAGGAGGAGGAGGAGGAGGAGGAGAGAAGAAGAAGAAGAAGAAGAAGGAGGAGAAAGAGAGGGAGGAGAAAAAGGAGGTGTGAGGGGGGGAGGAGGAGGAGGAGGAGAAAAAGGTGTGTAAGGAGGAGGAGAATGAGGACGAAAAGGAGGAGGAGAGCAAAAAGGAGGAGGAGGAGGAGGAGGAGGAGGAGGAGGAGGAGGAGGAGTAAGGGGAGGGGGAGGGGGAGGAGGAGGAGGAGAAAGAAGAAGAAGAGGAAGAAGAAAAAGAAGAAGAAGAAGAAGAGGAGGAGAAGGCGGCAAAGGAAAGGTAGAGGCAAACAGAGAGGGAGAGAAAAGGAAAGGGAAAGGGAGAGTATAAGAGGAGGAGGGAGAGGAGATGAGTGGAGAGAGGAGAGATGAGAAGAGAAAAGAGAAGAGAAGAGAAAGGAGAGGAATGGCAAGAGAAGAGAGGAAGGGAGAGAGCAGAGGAGAGGAAAGGACAGGAGAGAGGAAAGGGGAGGAGGAGCCAAATAGCATAAGAAAAGAAGACAAAATAACAGATCTACAAATAAATAGTATGAGCCACATAATTCTTCCTTTTCTCTTCCCTACGTTCTTTTCTCTCTTCTTTGTCTCACTTCCTCTGCCCTACATCCACTTCAATTTCCTCTTCCTCTTCCCTCTACAATTTTTTTTCTTCTGCCTTAGGACTCTTCTCTTCCCTATCTCCCTTTTCTCCCATCTTCTCCTCACTCTCTCATTCATCTATCCTTTCTACTGTCCTCCCATTATCCCCCTCCTCTTCTTCTCTTACATACCTGCACTGACTCCGCACCAGTATTGTTTGACGTAACTACAATCGCCTCTATAAGTGGTTCCATCTGGAAATATAACAGAGGAAAAGTTGTTATTAATGTTCATTTAAAGAAAAGCAGTGTAAATAAGTCATACATAGTAATAATAAAATCTGATTATGGTTACAATCCTCTACTACAAATAAAATTCAAGAACCTGTACATAATTGCTTAAAGCTTGTTATTTAAAAATACATATTCAAATGTCAAATGCAAATTATTATTAATAATCCAATTTATAAACAAAATAAATCCAGAAATTGACAATATGTTGGCTATACCTGCATTATTATTATTATTATTTTTTTTTTCACACATTACAGCATTGTTTTAATATTTCACCTTTCATCAAACTTTACACAATCCTATTCTGAATATTTTCCCAAATTGATCAATGATATTACTGGTATATTGACAACAGCACTTTGTGTATTTTGTCTACATGAATATCCCATGCTAAGAACTTTGTAATATGCACCTAGGATCTTGGCTGCAAATTGAAAATGGCAGATGCAGATTTTCAGACGTATATCACCTATCCATACCCAAATACTTAGATTTCAACTAATTGTTAATTGGCTCAAAAAATAATCAGAGGACAAAAATAATATAATTTGAAAAACTAAAATTTTAAAAAATCAAAAATCAAATAAAACCACAAGCTATACTGGAAAGTGTAGCACTTTTCAACAAGATCTTGGTTGTGAAAAGCAAAAATTCATGATGGAAATCAACCAAACATTTTCACAAGGCAGAGCAATTTATGCAATTTGTGGTTCAATAACAATAATAACATGGTGTGAAGTGTATAAAAGTTTGAATCTAATACATATGTATATTTAATACATATTAACTTACAATGATTGGTTTAGAATAATATTCAAAACACTAGAAATCCTTACTTACATGAGTCATCTTCCGATGTCATGCTAATTACAGTAAAACTAGCTCTTTCAATTGAGAGAAATTTGGATAATGGTCATAAAAAAATACACCAAATAGCAGTCATAGACAAAATAATCAGCAGAAAGTTGAAGTCCTGTGATGCTGGGGCCCGAACAGCAATAGAATAACACCATCACTAATATTCTCACAACACAGAAACTATTAATTTCCCTGGAAATTTACTGCCAAATAAGATACCAATGTGACACTTCCTTAATGAACCTACTTTTTTTTTTCTTTTTTTTTCCTTTGCTGGAGTTCATACTAAGGATGCACAACATCGCTTCATGTTGTCCTATTCTGAACATTTTTCATATTTTAACCAAATTACCCCATATGGCAAGAATAGATGCCCTGCCCACTTACTGTATTTACACATTGATGGCTCTCCAAATAACTAGTCAACACGGAGTCAGTTATTAGTCCTACCTATCTCACCTGTTTACCCTTTTCCTCGACTCTTGGAAAAGGTCTTTTGCATTATTTCATTATCTTAAATTTTAATAACAATTTAATAATCATAATATCAATAACAATAATAACAGTATCAATTAACAAGAAAAACACATTTTCCTGCCAATTCAAGCAATGGGAAAAATCAGGATTGGTCACAAGGGCTACTGATAGACTCCTTGCTGACTGAGCACATGTGGAGCCATCTGTATGGAACAACATTCACAAAAAATACAGGGGACAGAACATAAATCTGGGGAGGTTGGGTTAACGTGCTTTACCCCTTCCTCTGTGACAGTTCTGCAGAGCATGGCACTTGTGAAATTTCCAGTGTGCAAGATTCAAGATGCCATTTTTTCCAGACTGGCTCATACATATAAAATGGTGTATTATACATAATTATACATATTTCTTATTCCCTGAAAAAATGTGTTGTACAACACACATCTTAAATCCCAGACACCTGGTGACACCATTTAACTTTATGAATTTTCGTTCCAACTACCTTGCACTGTGGCATGACATGTGGACACATCACGATTCAACCACTTAATTTTTCAAATATGAGGCCATTTCATGAAGATTTTTTGCCTGGCATAAGGCAGGTTTTATCTGGAAATATAGGAACAAGTTATGTGTCACCAAGTTCAAATTATTCCTAACTACTTTTAATGTCCTAACTAGTCTATTCCAGGATCTCACATTTTTCCAGGGATAGGTGAAGTGAATGAATAAAACCTGGAATCATGTTCTCCTTGACTATGACAACACCATGACACATTCTTACAAGAACCATTTTTAGTTTATTAATTATGTCGACATAGAGATGGCTCCACAAGTGCATAGTAACCAAGTCACCCTTTCCTTGATTTTAAAAAAGTTTTTAATTCATATTTTACTGTTATTAGCATTCTAATATCATTATAAAAAATCATATGTAAATAATTGTATCAACAGCAATAGTATTAATATATAAATAAATAAATAAAGAAAAGGAAACGCAAAAGGGAAAAAAGGGCCTTTTTTTCAGTACAGTTTCAGTTCTCACAGCCAAAAGGTACAAATTAAATATTACCTGTAATTGTTAAAATGACAGAAAATAGTACTCTCTCCATCTCTGGTATAGCCTTCACAAGGTGAGTTGTGCAACATATAATATTCTATTATACATTTACATAATGACCACACTATGATAGGGAAATTCTAATTACACTGCCATAAAGAGGGAAAATTACACTCATTAACACATGAAACAGTCCGCATAGGCAAAGAAGAATGTCAGAAATGAAGAAAATAATTTCCTGACAAATGTTGTACAGAGACTAAGTTAATGTGATTGGGAGGATGTCTGGAGGCAGAGCTCCTGAGAGTGAAATTTAGTGATTATATTTAGGTTTGGATATGGAAGGTTTTTGGGTTATACTGTGATGTTTGTGGCTGGAGTAATAGGCCTTTTTCGAAAATCCTGAAAGTCCTAACACTTCGATACATTGTTTGATGTTGACTCATGATCAACATTGAAGTTTGTATTGACAGAAAAAGTTTTGAAAAAGGAAATTATCATTCTTAATCTTGCTCAAGACAGTCAATAGAAAGCCATTAAAGTACTTAACCCCTTGATGATTGGTGAAGAAGAAGAAAAAAAACTACGCTCTGAAGATTAACCCATTCATGCCGGGTGTCACGTATACGTGACGGTCCCACTGTGAGTTTACTTGTTAAATTGTTTTTACACATAGATGGCTACACTTGTACATGTACGGCCTGTGTTGTCTGTTTACAGTTTTCTTTAATTTACGAAAACATTTTACGTTATATTATTTTGCTGTTACTAATGTTCATAACATTATAGTAATTATAATGTTTATAATAAAAATAACCATCGATATTCATAGAACTAGTAAAAAATACATTTTCCTGCCAAATGAAATCAGGTAAGGCAGAGCCATCTAGTGTACAGAAATTTCACAAAAAGTATAAAAAATGAACACAGCATTTTTCCCCATTTTTTGTTCATTTTTACCCGGCGTGAATGGGTTAATGGCAACGCACCAACTTTGAGCGTGGGTGTTTAGTACATCAAGCAGAATCACTAGCTCATAGCACTTTGGCGCGCCGCAGCATACAGCCACATGCTAAAGATCGAGCAGTTTGTTTTGATGCCTCACTGTGTGACCAATTGGGTAGAGGTTATCATATTGATATGATATCTAATTACAAAACATTGTTGAAGCTTCAAACAAAATGGAAAAAGTACCTGACTACTCTGGTACTTATATTGTTTAAACACACACCACCCTTTGCTCCATAAGGCAGTGAAACATTCAAATGTATTTCTCAGATTCAGACTAAACACTTCATTTTTTTTTCTTGTCATATCCATTGTTTTGTTAATTTTCTTACTATGACAATCAGGTCTAACAATATTTATATCATCAGATTTGTTCTTGTGTGATGGGAACGAATCTGATGATCCTTTCTGTCGCATTCTCCAGCCAACAATCCTGATGTGATTTGCGAAGTCCTGATAGCAAGGGAGGGCATGAAGTAGATCAGGAAAATTATGGGGTAAAATATTAAGAAAATACGATCTATATCTTCCCAAGCCTTGGGGCTCTGCCAACTGGACCCCCAGGGTAAAACCACATACATTATATAGCAAAACACTAAACTTTTCTTCACTACTGTCTATGGTCCGAACTGCTTGGTTTCTAATCACTTTTTTTTCAGCATATGAGGCATAGAAATAAATACACCTCAGAAAAGGTAAGATCTTAACTTTACTTCTATTACTTTCCTCCCGAAATCTGGACAAAAACACTAAAACCTGCTTTCAACACTACTTAATAATACGTAATAATTCGCTAAACACAAAGGGATTTTCAATATCCATCAACCAATAATGAAGTTATGCCCATGGGGATTAGTCAATGTTAACAACCAGCAAATGTAAACTCACAACCAGCAAATACAAACTCACAACCAGCAAATACAAACTCACAACCAGCAAATATAAACTCACGACCAGCAAATACAAACTCACAATGAACTCTCTGCCGGAACCAACTCGACCAGCCTCACTCTCGCCGCGTTTGTTTACATCTGACGCCTCACGTGGACGACTCAACGCGCTCGGTATAATAGAAAGACTATAAGAAAATAAACCTTTATTTAGAGCTTTATTTGCAATTTTTGGTTTAAATGAACGTGCCTAGATTATTAAAAATGTTAAATTTGGCCGTAAACAAATACCCGAAGTAAGTTTTTATATATAACATACTAAATTAATTTGTCTTTATGTTGATGCTTTGCATGTATGTATATAAATGTATGTATGTGTATTAATGTGTACATATATATATATATATATATATATATATATATATATATATATATATATATATATATATATATATATATGAGTGTGTGTGTGTGTGTGTGTGTGTGTGTGTGTGTGTATGTGTGTGCATATATATATATATATATATATATATATATATATATATATATATATATATATATATATATATATAGATAGATAGATAGATAGATAGATAGATATAGATAGATAGATAGATACAGATATATATATATACATATATATGAATGTATACATATATATATACACATAATCATTATCATTGTTATTATCATTATCATGACTGTCATTACTTATCATTATAGTTATTGTTATCATCATTATTATTATTATAATCACTATTATCATCATCATTACTAGTAGTAACAGTAGTACTATTACTATCATTATCATGAACATTATCATTGGTCTTAACATTATCATCATTATTATTGTTGTTGTTGTTGTTATTACAATTGCAAATTTTATTGTTATTATCATTATTATTACTATAATTATCCTTATTATTATTATTATTATTATTATTATTTTTGTCATTATAATTATTATAATCATAATTATCACTGTTATTACTCTTATTGATGATCTGTATTTTCGTTATAATCTTTACTATCATTAGTGTCATTATTGTCATTGCTATCATCATATCAATATTATTATTATTATCGTTATCATTATCATTATTATTATTATTACCATTATTATTATTATTGTCATCATCATTTTAATATTATGATGATGATGATAATAATTATTATTATTTTCATTGTTACTATCGTTACTGTTATTATTATTATCATCATCATAATTACTTTTGTTATTACTATCATTATTACTATCAGTATTGTTGTTTTTATCATTATATGGCCATCATTATTATCATCATATTTATCATCATTATTACTATTATCATTCTCGTCATTATCTTTACTATCATTAGTACCTTTATAATTATTTTTGCCATTATTTTTTCTACGGTTATCATTATTATTCAATTTTTTATCATTATCACTGTTATTTCTTATCATTATCATCACTATCATTATTGTTATTATCACTACTATTATTGCTATTGCTTTCCTTATCATTATTATTACTATTATCATTATCATCAGCATTATGAACTGCAGGCTTACGCAGACAGCCACGACACGGAGAGTTTCTACGATGTGCTTCAAGCCGTATGTTGACCCCAGTCCTCCGGTTCCTTCCCTCTCGCCAGTGCAGATGGAACGCAGCTGCAGACAGTGTACAAGCAGATTCTGGAGCGGTGGTCTGAGCACTTCAACAATGCCCTCAACCACCCTGCCTACAACCTTGACACCATCCCCATTGAAGGATCAGATGTAATTAGTGTTGCCACATGTCCGGTTTTCGTCTGGACAGTCCAGTTTTAACGTTTAATGTCCGGTGTCCGGCAGAGACCCCTAACATTAGATGGCTATTGTGTCACAAACAGCCGGACGTTGTTGTCTTTACAGACAAGCATGGCGGCGGGCACGTGAGACAAGTTATGAGAAGTAAAAGATGCAGTTGGTTAAAGCAGTCTAGTGATTGTTTATAAAATATTTTTCTCTATTATTAACATAATATGCAATGCAGTAGGGTAAAGCAGTCTATACTATACTATAGTCCAAATAAAGCAGCTTGTTTTTAAAGTCCAATGAGGCAAAAGATTTGCTACGGTGTGTTAAATCTGACACCAAATACAAGTTGAGACATGTGTAATAAAGTTCTTGGGTTTATGTT